GTCAAGGGGAACCCTTCACCTTAGATAGAAATTATTGCACTCAAGGAACACATCTGCTGGGTAAATGAGTGCCACTTTAATACAATCAYTTTCCAGCAAAAGATTGACACTTTGTAGAGTGTCTGTTATTGAAAATATAATTATACTAAGGGGAGGGGAGAATCAATAGGGAGGAAGATTTTATAGTTTCATGGCAAAGTAGATGTTCAGGAAGCTCTGGAGTGTGTTTTTAAACCTCTTTCACCATTCTCATACATTTTTACCTTGGAAAACTTTATTCAGCCAGTGTCTTCTAAATCAGCATTGAGTGAAGTGGGGCTTACAATCTTCCCAGGGTTTTTTTTTTTTGGCAGAGTTGTAGTTTTTTTTTTTTTTTTTACATCCTGGTGGCTACCTCAGGTACAGGCAAACTTTGACCCTCCAGGTGTTTTGGACTTCAACTCTTACAATTCCTAACAGCTTAAGCGGCTGAGGGGGAAAAGGAAAGGGCATGAGGCTGTTAGGAATTGTAGGAGTTGTAGTCCAAGACACCTGGAGGGCCGAAGTTTGCCCAGGCCTGGGCTCTCATGACTAAAGGGTTGGGGGATTAATGGGTAATCAAATCTCAGAAACCTCCCCCAATGTTGTGTTTTATTTGAAAAGGAAAAATAAAGTAGAAATAGATTTCAAGACACAGTAGGTCTCGCTTATCCAACCTTTTCTCATCCAACATTCTGTAATATCCAACGCATTCCCCCTCTTGCCCAGATCCACAGCTATTTCAATACATTGTGATGTTTTGGTGCTAAATTCATAAATACAGTAATTACTACATAATGTTATGGTGTAGTGAATTGTTTTTTCTCTTGCTTTGTTGTAAAACATGATGTTTTGGTGCTTAATTTGTAGAATCATAACATAATTTGATATTTAATAGGCTTTTCCGTAATCCCTCCTTATTATCCAACATTTTCACTTTTCCATCATTCTGCCAGCCCGTTTATGTTGGATTAGTGAGACTCTACTGTACATCTCCTTTCAGTTTCTTTTTATTCTAAGGCAGGGGTCTTCAAACTTTTTAAACAGAGGGCCAGGTCTCAGTCCCTCAAACTGTTGGAGGGCCGGATTATAATTTGAAAAAAATATGAATGAAATCCTATGCACACTGCACATATCTTATTTGTAATGCAAAAAAACACTTCAAAACAATACAATCATTAAAATGAAGAACAATTTTAACAAATATAAATTATTAGTATTTCAATGGGACGTGTGGGCCTGCTTTTGGCTGATGAGATAGGATTGTTGTTGTTGTATGCTTTCAAGTTGTTTCAGACTTAGGTTGACCCCGAGCAAGGGCCGGGTAAATGACCTTGGAGGGCCGTATCTGGCCCCTGGGCCTTGGTTTGTCGACCCCTATTCTAAGGTAATGTAATTTTGTTTATAGTCATATATGTTTGCAAACACTAAAGTTCTGATAGGGTTTGTAGTTCAGTAACATTGGGATATCCCCGCTCCCCCAATCAACTTATTTATTTTCACAATGCTTTTCAATATAATGGGTAATGCATTATCCACAATACAGCACAATGGATAATGCACTAATATGTTGGCTGGTTGCCTTCAGAACTATGAATACGCTGATGCTTTCCTTGGCTATATACATCAACCTGATGAGGGTTGTATCAATCACTAGTTGTGTGAAAACAAGTCTGGATTCCAGACAGTTATAGTTCTACAGGTCCACAGGAGATGTACTATTGGACACATAATCAAGTATCTTTTTTTTTTGGGGGGGGGGGGGGGGATTATATTTTAGAAGAAAAGTTTCTGGTCCTTGTCGCTGGAATGATAATGAAAGCACAAATAATTATTAATGGCAAATTAATGGCAGAATCACAGAGTGGAAAGGGGTGGTTATATAAGGTCCTAAACCAACTAACTACAAATTAAATATCATTGAATTTAGTAGGACTGAGGAGAAACGTTAACATTATTTTAAATGTCAGTGTCTATTCTCATTTTCAGTTGTTTTTATAACTGAATGCATGTTATACACAGCATATTATTTGAGAACATAGAAATGCTGGACCATTCTAACAACCACCATGTCAGACTACATAGAGAAGTCATTGAAATCCACAAGCATGTGAACAATTTTAACAGAAAGGGGGAAACCATGAAAATGAACAAAATCTGGCCCCCAATATTTTTTAAAAAACCCTCTAAAATCAGGACAGTAAATAAAGAGCAATGCTCAAAAAGCAGGGGAATTCCAGACAAGAATCAATCAGGACCAGCTAAGACCTCCCAACAAAGGATTTCCCCAGGCAGCAACCAGCCAGTCTTTCAGGCTGCAAAGCCATTAAATGCTAATTGAGGTGGCCAATTGCAACATTCACACATGCGTCAAGCAGACAAGAGTTCTTTCTTCCACCCTGGACATTCTACAGATATATAAACCTCTCACAACCTCTGAGGATGCCTGCCATAGATGTGGGTGAAATGTCAAGCGAGGATGCTTTTGGAACATGGTCACACAGCCTAGAAAACTCACAGCTATCCACTGTTTTTATAACTCTTTATCCTATTTTGAATCTCCCCATGGAAAAATGGTGGAAGAGATATAGGTAGTCACGGCTATTACAGAAAAATAGGAGTCTTGTCAATTCTGTCCTAATGTATTAAGTTTAAATTGTATATATTGTCAAAGCTCTGCTGCCTAAACGGCCACCTTAACAATATTTTCCTTCCAACTGTGTTATTGTTGTCTATAATAGCACAGGATTAAAATGATAGAAATATTAAAATAGAACTAATATAATAGAAATATTAAGGCATGAACAATTTTAAAAAGAAGGAAGGATTACTGACATTGGCCTTTTGTATTAAACTGGATTTAAAACAGATGACCTCTTTTTTTCCTTTCTCGTCCTATCCTCCTCAGCTAGCTGTCTCTTTTCACAGCTGTTCATTCATCTATGTACCTATTCCATTCCTGTCTCTGTGAGAATAAAGCAAGACTTTGAAAAGAATTTTTGAGGAAAGCTGGTTAAGCTAGCCTTTCTAATATTTTATGTGAAACGTCATGAAATAAAGTTTCAGTTCATTTCCAAAGTAGATATATTAGAAATTCAGAAGAAAACTCAAATGTAACCTACAAAAAGTGTAAATCCAGATTGAGTGATAGATCTCTGCATGATTTACAGTTGATCCGCAGCAAAGAATTGTGACTCCTAGTTATTTAATAACAGCAAGCAATAAAATGACAAAGTTCCCTCCAAAGAACACCCCCCATCCCCCTGTCTCCAAAAAACTATAGGAAAAGAGAGCACTTGTCCCAGTTAGCATTTTGCAAACAAGCTCAATGGGCACACTGGTCACTATTAAAGTTGCCAGTTTGGATATGAGTTGGGCTTTCATCATTAACAGATCCTGAATCAGGAAGAAGTTCCGTAAATCTCATAAAGCACATCTCTTGGTTCATCTCCAAACCACATCTTTGAGATGCTGAAGCCCCATCCTTCTTATTGTTGTTGTTTCTGCTGCTGTGTGTGCTTTCAAGTCATTTCCAAATAGCAACCCTAAGATGAAGCTATCAGAGGGTTCTCTGAAGCTAAGAATGCATGACTTGCCCAAGGTTACCCAGTGGGTTTTCATGGCCAAGTGGAGATTCATACCTTGTCTTCCAGAGTTCTACTTCAACACACATACCACTACACCACATTAATTCAAGCCATACCCTTCAATTACTAATAGGCCAGCAGAAAATGGAAAAAAAAACAACAACACTTTGCTTCTGCAATTCTTCCAGTTCTGTTCCAACAACTGGAAGAGAAAGCACTAAACATTAGGTGGTGATGTGATCTCTTTCTTCTTTTTTTGTTGTAGTCCCTTTTTTAAAAGCAGTGGGTGTCTGGACCAATATGTAAAGAAAAACTAACAAAATGAAGTTCAATGGGGTCAAATGCAATATACAATGAAGTTCAATGGGGACAAATGCAAGATATTCCACTTAGGCAGAAAAAATGAAATGCAAAGATACAGAATGGTGGACTCCTGGCTTGACAGCAGTACATGTGAAAAAGATATTGGAGTCCTTGTGGACAACAAGTTAAAGATGAACCAGCAATGTAATGCTGCAGCTAAAAAAGCCAATGGGATTTTGGCCTGCATCAGTACGAGTATAGTGTCTAGATCCAGGGAAGTCAAGCCTTGGTTAGACCACACCTGGAATACTGTGTCCAATTCTGGGCACCATAATTGAAGAGAGATATTGACAAGCTGAAATGTGTCCAGAGGAGGGCCACTAAAATGATCAAGGGTCTGGAGAACAAGCCCTATGAGGAGTGGCTTAAAGAGCTGGGCATGTTTAGCCTTCAGAAGAGAAGACTGAGAGGAGACATGATAGCCATGTATAAATACGTGAGAGGAAGTCATAGGGAGGAGGGAGCGAACTTGTTTTCTGCTGCCCTGGAGACTAGGACATAGAAAAATGGCTTCAAACTACAGGAAAGGAGATTCCACCTGAACATGAGGAAGAACTTTCTGACTGTGAGAGCTGTTCAGCAGTGGAATTCTCTGCCCTAGAGTGTGGTGGAGGCTCCTTCTTTGGAAGCTTTTAAGAAGAAGCTGGATGGCCATCTGTCAGGGTGCTTTGAACGCGATTGTCCTGCTTCTTGGCACGGGGTTGGACTGGATGGCATACGAGGTCTCTTCCAACTCTATGATTCTATTATTCTAAATACACTGCCAGGAAAAGTAAGAAAAACTATGTGGATGGGCGTAAACAGTAACAATTTATGTATGTCTCGCGCAAGCCAGCTTTCGTTGAGAATGGATTACTTTATCAGATTAGAAAAGCAGTGGGTACGTCATGGCCCTATTTTCCATCTCCAGTCAGCAGTGCACTTGATTGAGATTAACTGAATGGCCTAATTGTGAATATTCAAGCTCAGCTGCACTACTAGTTTTAATGAAGAGTTAGAGAAGGTGTTAAAATGTGTATTTTTGCCTTCCAGGCCCAACACGCAAAATGCTACCTACCGCCAGCGCAATGGACTTCTTTCAACTCTTTGTCCCTGACAATGTGCTGAAGAATATGGTGGTGCAAACGAATATGTACGCCAAGAAGTACCAGGAGAGATTTGGGAGTGATGACACTTGGGTGGATGTCACTTTGATGGAAATTAAAGCTTTTTTGGCATACATGATATCCACAAGCACTCACCACTGTGAGTCTGTCCTTAGCATTTGGAGTAGCGGATTCTATAGCAACAAGAGCATAGCTCTGATCATGTCCCAGCCAAGATTTGAGAAGATACTCAAGTACTTCCATATCGTGGCCTTCCGTTCCAGTCAGACAACACAGGGCCTCTACAAAATCCAGCCCTTTCTGGACTCTCTGCAACATAGCTTCGACTCTGCTTTTAAGCCTTCCCAAACCCAGGTAAGCTTCAGTTTCTTGATTATGGAAAACCTTAAGTTACTCTATCCTTACATAGTATAAGCTAAGTTTTCATGCCAGAGAGATCTCATAAGATGCAGCTGTGGAAGTTACAGTGCAATCATAGTGCTGTAACTGCATAGTATGAAAGATCTCCTAGTCCAGTGGTTCTCAACATGTAGTTCTCCAGATGTTTTGGCCTACTATTTTAAACATGAAGGCTCCTGGGATAATTGCTTGCCTGGAAGGGCCCTCACTTTACCTAATTGCAGTAATAGTATAGTTTAGAAAATGAAGACCATAAGGATGCATTCATGTAGTCGTCCATTCAGCATACATTGAAAGGATAACTCTTTCCATTATGGAATCTGGTCTACTTATGAAGAATTCCTGTGTGACTTAAAATACTGGAGGATTGCAGTTTGAAAATACCCCAGGAGCCATTAGCCATGCTGACAGGGAGATGAATTGTAGTTGGAAAAAGTGACCTTTCTAGTCTCTGTGCTAGATGTTGATAATTTAGATACTCTTATCTGAGGGATGGTATAAGATGGTACTGCTGTTATTTGAGGTACATGGCTAGAATTCTTGAATTCTGGGTGTCAACAACGTCTGAATTCTGGGTGTCAACAACAAGAATAATTTATGAGCAAAGCCATCAATTGAAGAAGTAAAGATTTTCTGGCATATCCCTTCAAGAAGCAGGTGTTTGTAGTATTTTTCATAGTTGCTTTTAGGTAATATAGTATCAAGAGATGGAGGAAATGTCTCTCTCGGTTACATGCCTCTTTGCATTGAACAGTTTTCTGTCACCTGCCTCATTCATGATGTATCATGAGAACTCACGGTAGTCCTATCCACATTGAGCCTCAATTAGAAAAGAAACCATGTTTCTTAGCTTTAAAGCCCTAGATGGATATTTCATCGTACAATGGTTGACTAATCCTCATGATGTAATTGAGATGAAGCCAGGCTACAATACATGCAGAAACACTGTACCAAAATAATTTGATGGCACAAGTTGCAGATTTTAATAGTCATGAATCATAAAACTGCCTTAATGCAACTTGCAGTTTCTAATTACATTATTTTTCTTTATCACTAATTGTTAAATTAAATTTAAGAAATGAGAACCCTAGCATTTAATTACATGCTTTTCCCAGCATGAAGGTACAACTTAGTTATTTAATGAAGGATATGCTCTGAAGGTTGTCAGGCAAGATTTGGGAAAATATTATATTGATTTAGGAGTTGTTCATGCACACATTTGCCCCCATCCAGTGTTAATAGCATTGAATGAAAATTTCCATCTGAGAACTAACCACAAATCTATGTATTTCATATCAGCTTGCTTCACTTTTAAAGCTGTGGGTACCTTTTTCAAAACAATATTGGGCCCAACTAGATATCACATAAGAGATACAATTGGCAATTGTATGTGTTGTTGAAGGCTTTCATGGCCGGAATCACTGGGTTGCTGTGAGTTTTCTGGGCATTATGGCCATATTCCAGAAACATTCTCTCCTGATGTTTCGCCCACATCTATGGCAGGCATCCTCAGAGGTTGTGAGGTCTTCTCCATCTCCTCCATTGTGCTATTTGCATTGGATTTTAAACTGTCATTGACACCTTGGATTCTCAGAATACCTGGTTTTTCTTTTTCATGGAAATATGTTGACCACAAGATGGTCCAGGGCCCCAGAGTTTCAGTCCCACCACTAGGGACTGTATTAATTTGTTTGTTTACATTTCATTTGATGTTATTATTTGCTGTATGTATTTTATTTGATTTGGTGTAATTGTTTGGGCTTGGCCTCATGTTAGCTGCCCTGAGTCCCCCGTCGGGGAGATGGTGGCAAGGTATAAATAAATTATTGTTAATGTTATAAGGGGGAAACAGCTACTGCCACTCCACAGTCCTCAGATTTCTTTTTTCCTTGGCTGAACTATGCACATGACAGACCAGATGCAAAAGAAGAAGCTGACCAATGATATATTGGGCTGATGGTTGCCACAGTGAAAAGAAAGGCAGTAGCAATAGGCATCTTCCACATCAATTTTTTTCGTATTAGGAGTGAGTTGAGAAACTGCAAGTCTCTTCTGGTGTGAGAGAATTGGCCGTCTGCAAGAACGTTGCCCTGGGGACGCCCGGATGTTTGATATTTTACCATTCTTGTGGGAGGCTTCTCTCATATCTCTGCATGGGAAGCTAGAGCTGAAACAGCTCACCTTGCTCCCCAGATTCAAACCAAGAGCCTGCTGGTCAGCAGTTCTGCCGGCACAAGGGTTTAACCCATTGCGCCACTGAGAGCTCCCCCTGTGTCAGTGGGACAGTGATTCTGCTCCATTTCACAGACTGAAATGCAACGGTGCTATGCAAGGTTCTGAACCTATTCTTCCTTTAGCCATTTTAAAGTGCAGACTTGGAGTGGACTCACCACTCCATTAACATTGAAACTCCCAGCTGTTGCTATGGAAAACTTTGGGCAACAGCAGAAACAGCCATTATGAGGCCTGGTTCTGCAGAGGCAGAATCAAGTCAAGACCATCTAGAGCAATGGTTCCCAACTGGTGGTTCCCCTGGTGTTTTGTCCTACAACTTCCAGAAATCCCGGCCAGTTTACCAGCTGTTAGGATTTCCGGGAGTTGAAGGCCAAAACATCTTGGGACCCACAGGTTGAGAACCACTGGTCTAAGGCTTCTTGTGCGCACATCTTGAGCATCCCTTTCCATTGCCTAAGTATGACAGTTGCAGGCTTATCAGGCCTAATTATACCATATATTAACTTGGAGGGGGAAGGGAGGAATGGAGTCCATTTTGAGTTGAAAATTTACTTCTCTGTAACATCCACCTCCAAATATGCTTCACTTCCTCCCAACCTCCATTCATATACCAGAGAGCACATGAAGCAGACATCAGTGGTGGCCTTCCTTATAAATGGGTTTGAAAATTTGTTTTATGGAGCTTTCCACTATGCTCAGACTTACTTCAAAGTAAATTTAGCATCTTGAATAGTTGCTTTAAAATTTAGATTAAAACCCAGAATAGATCTCCTAGTAATCATCTTTCATATTTCTAATACTGAATGTACATCCTAAGACAGTGGTTCTCAACCCATGAGTCTCCAGATGTTTTGACTTTCAACTTCCAGAAATCCTAACAGTAAACTGGCTGGGATTTCTGGGAGTTGTGAGTCAAAACACCTGGGGACCCACAGGTTGCGAACCATTGTCCTAAGAAGAAGACATCTAATTGCTACAGACTGTGTGAAAGTAAACAGCACAGAAGGGAAAGATTTGTTATCTTGACTATGTTGCCATTGCTATACAAAAGACTGACACATAGGGTGGCACTTATATGGTTTTTATTACAATGGGTTAAACCCTTGTGCTGGCAGGATTGAAGACCAACAGGTCAGAGGTTTGAATGCAGGGAGTGTGGATGAGCTCCCTCTGTCAGCTCCAGCTTCCCATGCAGGGACATGAGAGAAGCTTCCCATAAGGATGGTAAAACATCAAAACATCCAGGCATCCCCTGGGCAACGTCCTTGCAGACGGCCAATTCTCTTACACCAGAAGTGACTTGCAGTTTCTCAAGTAGCTCCTGACACAAAAAAAAATTACTATATTTTAAATGCCACTTAAATATTGCTTTAAATTGATGTTTTTAATATGATTGTTTGTGTAACTGGTTTTAACTCACTGTGTGAGCTGCTTGAGTCCTATATTGGGAAAAATAAATGAAATAAAATAAAATAAATTCACCTTTTGTCAAAAGAAATGCATCCTCAAGAAAAAGGACGAAAGAGCATGTGGATTTTATATAAATATGCCAGTTGTGTTATGCTTTATAATCAAGATCCACTACATCTTGCCATAGACTGTGGCCAGGTGCTCTGCATTGCTTGCTCAGTCTGCTGTCAAGGTGTGAACTGATGATGGGTGACCTCAGCATTTCTGGTTTTAAACCTACCTTGACTGCAGATCCTTTCATAAGGAAGATGTTTGCAAGCAGACAATTGTCCTTTACCTGTCTTCTGATAACTCTTCTTCTAAAGAATGTATTCAATGCCTCTCTTTTTGCTATGGTTTTAAACCAGTCGGTTGTACATAGATATCTCATGCTCCCTTTTGTCAAATCTGTCAGTTATTGTATTCAGACCATTTTGACTGGCAGTGATTCTCCAGAGGGCTAGGCAGAAGTCTTTTCACAGCTCCACTATCTAGAGATGCTGTCAGTTGGACATGGTACATTTTATATGCAAAATCTGCTTTCAGCCACTGACCTATGGCTCTTCCCCACAGCTTCTTGATGAAGGAGATTTTCCCTGTGTTGAGCTCCTTGCTCTCATTGTTACTTTAGCAAGCTAATTTTGGTGTCTGATTTTGCATCAGAGAGGTAGTGTAAAATTCCCCACAACATATCTCCCCCTACCCTTCCAAAACCCAGGTTGTAGCTGCTGCAATCCTCCTGCAACATTTGCTGGCTGATGAAGAGTGGAGGGAAGATACAGAAGAGAGGCTGGATGTCCATCAATAGGCATCCTCCAGGACCTCTTAGAAACTTCCCCACAATTAAATGTGGCCCTTGAGAGTGTGTGGTTGGAGGGGATCCTAATTTGTATTCAAAAAGGTAATGGAGTCCTTGCTGTAATTCCCATTGGGAGCTTTCTTGAGAATCCTATGTATTAATAAGCAAGAGGAAAACGTGTGGCATTGGGAGCTTACAATGGGAAATAACCACCCTCCAAAATATCCATGAGCATCCCTCCATTACCAGCTTCAACTGGAAAAGTTAGCCAGTTTTTTGGTTTTGGTTTTGTTTTTGTTTTTGTCGTGTCAGGAGCGACCTGAGAAACTGCAAGTCGCTGCCAGTTGAAGTTGGATGAATTAAGGCTAGTAAGAGATCTGTATCCATTCGTGGCTTTCCTCTGTGAATGCCATCTTTACAATATAAAGCACTGCTAAATGTGATGTGGTGTGATGAAGAGGTTGCTATGCTAGAAGTTTTCCAAAACATCTCTGTTTTGAAGGGCTGACATTTTGTTTTCTTAAATGATTATTGGGTAGCTGCAGAAACAGAACACAGCTGGTGAGATCTAATGTGAACTTGGCCAAAGATTAGCATTCTAGAGGGAATTAAAATTACCAAAGCAATAGCTGTAAGGGGAAGCACATTCACGGAAAGCAAGCTGCTCCTTCATCCACTTATAGTCTAAGTATTCACCAGTGTTAAAGAAAAATATATATTTAAACTGATATTTAATATAGGGCAGGAGAAAAGTTGAGCAACATGGTGACCATCTTGCCATATATGGGAATATTGTAATGAATAATAGGGACAATGTGTATCTTATAGATATGTCTACCAGTTTTTCCTGATATACGTGTGTGTGTGTGTGTGTGTATACACACACATATTGATGGGCATGCGCATATACATTTCTGTATATATGGAGGCACATCAATGCATATGGATATGATTATACAGTATGTTCGTATATATGTCTACACACGCACACATATTTAACTGCAATGGTATAATGGGATTTAGATAATTTGAAAAGTTCAAATAATACTTTTTTCTGGATAATGGATCCAAAATTAAGAATAAATACAGCTGATGCCTTTGGGTCTCCTTTAAGCACATCTAGGTCTATATCCAACCCAGTGATAAACAATCTTTGTTGGGTGGGTTTTTTAAGATGGTAATTGATTCTTGAGCACAGGTTGGAAGAATGAGCAACATTAAACTTGGACCTCTTTGATCCCTTTCCTCCAAAGAGCTCAGCATTCTCAGAGTAAAATGTGTTGTATCTCATCCTCCCAACAACAAAAATCAAGTGAGGTAAGTTAGGCTTAAAGGCAGCAATTCTATCAAGTCATGTGTACAAGTTTCATGGCAGAATGAGAAATAGTTCAAATACAGTATTTGGGCCATTCTGCCTTTGCCCCCCTCCCCTCAAAAAAGAATTGAAAATACAGTTTCTGTTTCAGGAACTAAATAAGCATGGCCTGGTTATGTTTGTAGGTCCTCCACGAGCCTTTGATTGATGAAGATCCTATTTTCATCGCCACCTGCACAGAGCGAGAGTTACGGAAGAGGAAAAAGCGGAAATTCAGCCTCTGGGTTAGGCAGTGCTCATCTACAGGTTTTATATGCCAGGTAAGAATCAGTAATTAAAAGCCTGAATTTAAGCAGTTGAGTTGAAAATTTATACTTTGGAATGTTTTACAGCAGACTGCCATGCAAAACCGTTTAGTCCTAGAAAAACTGTCAACCTTAAATCTGTGCATAAAACTTCTAGTAAGAATCTAAACTTTGGAAAGTCATTTTTGTTCCTACCATTCCCTACATCCCTGACAGTTGGGTTCAAAACAGGTAGTATTACTTACTCTGGTAGTATTGTCAAGACAAATACTCAGGTTGTCTTCCTTGGCAGTATGAATCGAGAACATGTTTGAGTGGGAGAACAAAAAGCAATAAAAATAGTTTCTCCCAGGTGTGTTCATCTTAGTCTCCTTCAAGTTGAGCTAATAATCCAGTTATGTCAAACTACCCCTTTTAAAGATATTATGTCTCGTGAGGGTAGTTCCCACTTCCATACCCAGTCATGATTTAAATCATACATGGGCAAACTTTGGAACTCCAGGTGTTTTGGGCTTCAACTCCCACAGTTCCTAACAGCCAACCGGACAGGTCTGAATGATTATGATGAAATTACATTTATTACAATTGGGGCCTAAATTCTGAAGGAAGTGAGTTGGTCATGACCTGAGATTTCTCGTGGATTTCAGATTTCAGATTCTGACTCCACTCAGTACCGAATTGTATCATTTCCAGTTATTTGCTGTGCTAACTTAGCACAGAAAGTAGACACATCTCCAACTTCAAATAGAAACAGTTCAGGTTTCTTCTACTACTCAATCATCATGAGAAGAAGCTTTTCTGTGGCAGTTTCATATCAATGCATTACAAATGCAGAATTCTCATGCGACCTGTGCGCCCTGTGGCATTAAAGGAGAACATTTGTAGTGAAAAGTCTATAAATCATGAAGGAAATCTGTTCAGCATGTTGATATGATGGAGAGATTCCAGATATGCTGGGCTCTGAATAAAATTTATTTTTTGCCCTCGATCCATCTTCATTAACATACATCTTCAAACTGTCAAAGTCAATGAAAATAGATGACACTCCACACATCACAGGATCAAGCTCAACAGCTTGAGCAAAATAATGAAAATGACACTTCTGTTTGACTTGCATCTAAATGATTTCCAAAATATTCTCAAGAGCCTTTGTCTATGTGCATCTTGACAGCTCTGTCTTCATATTCAAAAGGGTCAGGTGAGAAAGGTTTTTTCAAGTGTGAAACTGAACACTTGATTGTGAACCCATCAATATAACAGCTGCAAGAACAGATGTGAGGTTTTCTCCCTGATGACTATAAACTTAAATATTGCATTCAGCTTTATGTTTCCAAACTCTCCAGTGGAGTTCTACAAAGGCCGTGCGGAAGTCAACCACTCATTTGCAGAATGCCTGCTGTTCACGGAAGAAGGAAAATAACAATTTTCTCAACATACCAAAAATTAGGTTTTAGTTGAATTCTTAGTTCTTTTAAAGAGATAATTGGTCCAAATAAGAAGTGATAGTCTCTCTGCCTGGTCTTAATAAAATAATGAAGTAGATCCAGGGACCTGTTTCTGGTGCTTCTGGTCATGGTCGTCATCATTTTTATTGATGTGTCACTTTTCCATGCTGAGAGCAACTTAACAGCAATTTCAAGAAAATTTTTATAATTCAGTAGAGCTACAGTTCCAAAAAATTCAATACCAGTTAAAAGTTGAGATTTAAACAGTCAAGCAAATAGACATTCAGCTGGCATGGGCATTTGGCATTGGAAGTCATGAGAAGCAACTTTCTCAAACTTGGCAGCTTCTGTGTTACAGCTGGAATTAAAGTCCCCATTCATGGCAGCCAGATGGAAGTGAACCAGATGAAGGAAGAGGAAACAGCTGGAATGTGGAATAGATGGGGGAAGGATGGCATGTTATCCCTTCTCTTAGGATCATTTCACACAGCCCTATATCCCAGAATATCAAGGCAGAAAATCCTACATTATATGAGTGTGGATTCAGATAATCCATTTCAAAGCAGATATTGTGGGATTTTCTACCTTGGTATTCTGAGATATAGGGCTCTGTGGAAGGACCCCCAGGATGCCCAAAATACATTATTTCCTGCCCTTTTCTTGATAGGCAAGGATGAACTTTTTGCCATAGTCTGGCAAACTTTTAAATATTTTAACAGTGTCATTTCTTACAGTAATCTTTTTTTCTCTATATTGAACAGGCTCACTAGCTTTCAGCTGCTGTTGCTTCCTACTGCTACTAAAAGTAAAGGGTTCCCCTTGACGTTAAGTCTAGTCATGTCCGACTCTGGGGAGGGGGGTGCTCATCACCATTTCTAAGCTGAAGAGCTGGTGTTGTCCATAGATGCCTCCACAGTCAGGTGGCTGGCATGACTGCATTACTTTCCCACTGAAATGATGCCTGTTGATCTACTCACATTTGCATGTTTTCAAACTACTAGGTTGGCAGAAGCTGGGGCTAACAATGGGAACTCATCCTGCTCTCTGGATTCGAATTGCCGACCTTTCAGTCAGCAATTTCAGCAGCTCAGCGGTTTAACTTGCTATGCTGCCCCGAGCTGCTACTACTACTTTTATTTATACTCCACTTTCCTCTCAAAAAGGACTCAAAATGGCTCACAACATTAAAAACAATACAGTTTGAAACCCACTACCTACTCATAGAATTTACCTTTATCAGTCTTTCTGGGAGGCTTCTCCAACTCATTAATCATGGTGATGCCACTGTAATAACAGTTTTGCCAGTATTCCAGTCCCAAAACTGTATGGTTGGTACTTCCTAATTCCAGTTCAATTAAGCCATATTTGGATGTGTGTGATTTTGTTTTGTTATCCTGGTCCTGAAATCAAGACTTCCAAATAGAACCCAGAAGTGAGAGCTGCAGATCAACCTAATCTTTTCTATCTAATGCTCGGTGCTTCCTAGAGCTAAAGTCTTGCTTCTTTTTTTTCTTTCTTTACTTTTTTTTATGATTTCTTGCTTTGGATACCGTTGGCTGTCAAAAAGATGAATAAATGGGTCTTAGAGTCAATCAAACCTGAACTGTGTCTAGAAGGCAAAATGACTAGATGGGAGCTATAGTAGTTTAGATATATAATGAGATGACATTATTCATTGGAAAAGACTTAGTAATACAGAAGTAATACAGAAGAAGAAAGAGGAAGATAATATTATAGATGGATTGTTTCAACCAAAGAGTTTGCAACCTATAAACATGTGTCTTGGAAGTGTCTCATTTATAGTGTTATTTAAATCAACCAGTTTAGTGGCACAGTAATACAGTCCAATATAATTTAAAATTGCATTGGATTAGTGTGTGTGTATATATGTTTAAGGATCATATAACCCAGAATATCAAGGCAGATAATCCACAATATCTGCTTTGAACTGGATTATCTGAGTCCACACTGCCATGTAATCCAGTTCAGTGTGGATTTTATACAGATGTGTAGAAGGGGCCTGAGAGAGAGAGAATATGGGTTTGAGTCTACCATCTGACATACATTTAACATTCTCTATAAACCTGTAGCAACTATAAATAGAGACACCCTTCTAATATCATCAAATGTCAGAACTGCACAAAGCTGGCAAGGAGCAACAATAAAATTGGGATGACTTTCACTGTCCTCACGTTATGAATAAGCTTATTTGGTCTGTGATTAAGTCCTAATTGATTTACTTGTTCTGCTTTGAGAGAGCAAAATATCAGCCTGGGGTGAATATCCTTTTTAAGAGCTTAATTGCAGGAGGATGAGCCATCTGTCTCTTTTCAGTCATGCCGCAAGACAGAACAGTTTGTTAAATCCCCTCATCATATAGACTAGGGTATTTGATATGTATATAGCTATCTAAGGAAGTAATCTGTGGAAATAAATGGCACGTACACATCAAACTTGGTGCGTTACATACGTCATGTTTCTTGATCAACAAGACAGTAGCAACTTCCTTCCCTGGTGTCTTGTTTTCATTGGGCTTCATCCTTTTTGCTTTGCAGTTTTCCCTACTTAATCATTTACTTGAGAAACACGTTCCAAGTATTAATTAAAATACGACTCAAAGAATAGCGATGTACAAGGGTCATGTGGGAAATTTCTCCTGTCAAGCATGAGGCCAAGACATCAATTTGTACATAGATTATTGCTGCCATTATATAGACAGCCCTAACACTGGTGAAATGAGGCTTTAAAAATACAGCGCTGAATAATGCTGCTTTCCTGGAAGCTGTTTTGGATAGGACATTTTTATGCCAGGGAAGTGCTGATGAGTCAGTCTAAAAATAAGTCCAGACATAATGGCTGTGGTTAGGCATCATGATAAAGCATGGTTTATTTTGACAGAAATGAGGCTCCATTCTCCCTTGGCTTGTATGCTGCTCTCCCTTTTATTCTGGCACAGCTGCAGGTTGGAGATAGGAAGCTTTTGCTTCTGATTTCTGTTCACCACAATTTAGCTTATATTTCAACTATGGTTAATCATAACTTTGTTTAAAAAAACAGATTAATAACATGATGGTTTGACATTGACTTTTTTCAGATGAGCTGTGCTTAAATTCAAGCTCAGATTCTTTACTTGAGATGATTTGCTGAGCTTTGATTAATTGGAAGTAGTACCCCAAGTTTCAGAACTCTGTTGTGCTGATGTCTTCTTTTACTCTGACTGTAAGAGTCAAAAAACACAAAGAGTCATCTATGTGTTTTGCTGATTTCAACTAGTTTAAATGATTTTTCTTCATGTCAGGAGCAACTTGAGAAACTGCAAGTCGCTTCTGGTGTGAGAGAATTGGCCATCTGCAAGGACATTACCCAGGGAACACCCGGGTAATTTTTAATGTTTTACCATCCTTGTGGGAGGCTTCTCTCATGTCCCCGCATGGGGAGCTGGAGCTGACAGAGGGAGCTCATCCATGCTCTCCCCAGATTTGAACCTGTGACCTGTCGATGGAGATAAGATTAAGCTGGTGCTGGGCCATATCCTGTACTATCTACCTCTTCTTAACTCTTAACCTCTTCTTAACTAATAGCAGGTCGTAAGCACCACTATAATTTGCAGCCATTCTGGACCATAGATTTTCCCCTTTTCATGTGTAAGCTCTATAGCAATGTGTGATTCAGCACATTAAAGTTCGAATACTATCTGCAACAGTTGATGTGATGCTCAGGGTGGAGAACAAGTGGCCCCACTCCTCATTTTGTTGGGTTGCATCTCACACCAGACCTAGCTAGCATAGCCAAGTTATGAAGACTGATGGAAGTTGCAATCCAGCATCATCTAAATCCTCTCATCCCTAGTGTGCTAGAACTGTGTGTGGATAATTTTTGTGAAGATAATCAGTTGAGATCTTTCTAAGAGAAACACTAAACTTTACTATGCCATTTCTCCTCACGCAGACCCTTGGTGAAGGCTGGCACTGGGTGTGACGCTTATAGAGCATGGTTATTATAGTTCTTGCAGGCAGTGTGGCAGACCTTTCCTAACAGAAACACTAAACTTTACTATGCCATTTCTCCTCGTCCAGATCCTTTCCCTAAGTTGCGCTTGAAAGTCTGTAGGAACAGCAATATTAGAAACTGATCTTGGAGTGGCATGGGGTCAGATTATTCTTAGCTGCTATGAGACTCAAGCTGTACTAAGTTCAGTGCAAGTAGTTCAGATTAGACATGCCTCCTTAGGTCTTTTGTATAAGATCAATGGGAAATTCTGCTTTTTCAGTTCGTATCTTAACATTTTTCATTAGCGATAGCCACAAAGACTATATAATTAGTGAAGTGAGTGGATTGCTGTAGCAATCCTTCCCAATATAAGGAGTACTGTGGAGATCCTACATCTAGCTATAAGACAGGGATGGAAATCATGCCTCTCTCCACATGTTATTGCACTGCATCTCCCAGCATTTCTCATCATTAGTTATTTTGTCAATAATAATAATAATAATAACAATAATATACGAGGATTTAAAGATTGAACTGCAAAGACTCTGGCACAAGCCAGTAAAGGTGGTCCCAGTGGTGATCAGCACACTGGGTGCAGTGCCTAAAGACCTTGGCCTGCACTTAAACACAATCGGCACTGACAAAATTACCATCTGCCAGCTGCAAAAGGCCACCTTGCTGGGATCTGCATGCATTATTCGCTGATACATCACACAGTCCTAGACACTTGGGAAGTGTCCGACGTGTGATCCAATACAACAGCCAGCAGAGTGATCTTGTCTGCTTTAGACTCATCTTGTTGTGTTTCAATAATGATAATAATAATAATAATATCTCAGAGCAGATTACAGCATTTTCATACACAGGCAAACATTCAATGCCTTTCCAAACACGTGACACACAAACACAAATAAAGGCAAGGCTTCTCCTATCATTTCTGGCTCCTGGAGGTGGTGCTCATCTCTGGCTCTGGGAGGTGCATTCTCCATTTTCAAGCCAAGAAGCCTGTGTTGTCACCTGGTCGTGTGGCTGGCAGCATTGCTTGGAGCATCTCTTTGCCTTTTCCTGCAGAAGTGGTACCTATTTATCGACGCACATTTGCATGTTTTTGAACTGCTAGGTTGGCAGGAACTCTAGAGCTAACAGACAGGAGTTCATCCCAGCTTGTGGATTCAAACTGCCAACCTTCAGGTCAGCAGTTCAACAGCACAAGGGTTTAACCCATTGTGCCACCATGTCTAGGACTGTTGGGACTTGCAATCCAGAAGCATTTGGAGGAACAGTAGTTCTCTGTGGTGCTATGACATGTGTGTGTTACGAAGAGGGAGGGAGAGATTTTTATTCTGAGATGGTGCCTCTTACGCACAAAATAAGAGCTGTATTTTAAAAGCTTTAGTATTTCCTGATTTATTTCTTCATTTCTGCTCAAAGATAGTGGCTAGAAGCAAATAATACAATTACAATAGCAAATGGAACTGAAACTTAGGAAAAAATAAGGTAAAAACATCTCAGTAGAAAAGAAACAGCACACATGAGTTGAAACAGATGTGGATAACCACAGAGCATTCATGCGCTGGCACTCTTTCATAATCTACATTCACCCATTTTTTGTCTATACTGAAAGTGACGCAATCAGTTGTGTGGCCCACAGGTTACATAATTTTAATCCCCAGGTTCATGCCCGCTTTCACAAACACGTCATCTTAAATGCTGAAGTCTGTTTGAATAGAAATGTCTGCCTGTGAGCAGAAAGACAACAGAAATTGAATCATCCTGTCTTCTGTCAGAAGGGAGCTCCAGAGCCTGGAGGCAGGCATCAAAAGTATCACTTTGACAGGCAAACGTCTCTTCATACAGCAGGGTTACGATGAAACACTTCAGATGTCTGTCTTTCCATAAACCAAACGCAATAACACAAAATTGCAGCAGATGCATTATTATCTAAAACAATAGCAACAAAATCTCTCACATTTCAGGCTCAGTAATTCTTCATGTGGATAAGAGATCCAGTGATTTCTGGGGAAACAAGCCATCTCAAAACACGGAATTTCTTCAAATGTTCGTTGCTTAAGTCAGCTGTGATATGGTACTTCTTATGGTAGTTCTAACAACGGGTTTAAAGGTCTGAGAGACCTTAAGTATCCACGTTTTCATGTTCGTCTCTCAGAGGGACAGGCAGAATACCGTTGGCCACTTAACACATTGATGTTTCTTCCTGCTGTTTCTTTTCTTTTTGTGTTTGATCATTAAGATCTATGTCCACCTGAAAGAAGGAAGTGGGACCGAAGGCCTGGATGCTTTGAAGAATAAAACCCAGCTCCACAGCATGGTGGCCAAGAGCCTTTGTCAGAATGCTGCAGGGAAAAACTACATTATCTTCACTGGCCCCAGCATCACCAGCCTGAATCTCTTTGAAGAGTTTGAGAAGCAAGGTATGTAACAACAAAGCCTCTTGGAGTTGGCTGCTACCACCCATGATTAGCCCCAAATATATTGTGGTCTCTTTTTGGTTTTGCTACAATCAGTGGATGTAGCTTGCCTGGTAAAATATTCATTTTGGGGCCTTTTCCATTTTATGAAGTTTTAAATGAACAAATCCATGTAATCTTAATCCAAAAGCTGTTTTGTTTTTTGGGGGGTTTTTTGTTTTTGGTTTTTTGCACCATGTTGGCCCTGAGAGATTCTGGGATCTCTTCCCCCCCCCCCCCTTCATGAGCCAACATTATCATGTGGTGGGGAAAAAACTAGTGGGATTTTGGCCTGCATAAATAGGAGTATAGTGTCTAAATCCTGAGTCCCCTTCGGGGTGAGAAGGGTGGCATATAAATGTCTAAATAAATAAATAGATCCAGGCCTTGGTCAGACCACACCTGGAATACTGTGTCCAATTCTGGACAGCACAATTGAAGGGAGATGTTGACAAGCTGGAATGTGTCCAGAGGAGGGCGACTAAAGTGATCAAGAGTCTGGAGAACAAGCCCTATGAGGAGCAGCTGAAAGAGGTGGGCATGTTTAGCCTGCAGAAGAGAAGGCTGAGAGGAGACATGATAGCCATGTATAAATATGTTAGGGGAAGTTATATGGATGAGGGAGCAAGCTTGTTTTCCACTGCCCTGGAGACTCTGCTACGGAGCAATGGCTTCAAACTACAGGAAAGGAGATTCCACCTGAACATTAGGAAGAACTTCCTAATTATGAGAGCTCTTCAGCAGTGGAAGTCCCTGCCTTTGAGTGTGCTGGAGGAGCCTTCTTTGGAAGCTTTTAAGCAGAGGCTGGATGACCATCTGTCAGGGTTGCTTTTAATGTGATCTTCCTGCTTCTTGGCAGGGGGTTGGACTGAATGGCCCAAGAGGTCTCTTCAACCCTATGACTCTAATGAACTAATATTCCAGCTGTACTGCTTTTGTGTTGCAGATGGTTAGAGTCCACCTCTATCTGGTATGAAATGTAAGATTCCACCCATCTCCACATTAGCTGAATGGACTACTCGTGTCTAATCTACTTATTCTTGCTTTTGTGCAGATGTAGATCAAAGTTGGAACAGGGCCAGCCCCCTCATTAGACAGAATGGTGTGGCTTACTTCAGGTGGCCAGTTTGTAAAGTCAAGAAAGGGCAGTGAACCTTTCATTATTTAATTTTATATAGTTGAGTTTCTGCTAACATAAAAGTAATAGGCTTAAATACTTTTGACTGACTTGGATGATTTTATACCTTGATCTGAGTATGAGGAAGTGCCATCTGCTACTCTGCCTTAGGGAGTTCATGTCCTGAACTGACCCTGAGACGGATGTGATACAGGAGCTGGGGGAATGTCATGGTTTTAAGTTTTCACCATAAAGTGGCATGGGGAAAGGGTTTTCTGCATCTACATATATAAGTCAGCCTCAGATATAAGTCGAAGGAAGGTTTTGGGATCAACATTATGTGTTTTAATGACCTGTAGATAAACCAATGGTCATTCCATGGAGAGGGAAAATCACAAATGCTGTCTTGGGGTTACCTGCCCTTGCCTGCCACAATTTCCCCATTCAGGGATCCGAAAAGGCCTTTCTTCACTCTACTCAAAGAGGATGCTTCCCTATATATATGTATATATATGTGTGTGTGCATATAAAAAAAGGTTAAGGTACGGTATTAACTCTCATATGTAAAAAAGGAAGCATCATCTTCTCTGTGTAGAGCAGCTAATGATGGGATCTTAGTCCATCCTGGAAGAACTAAAGAAGCAACCATCCTCTTTTCTCTCATGGTATTTGTTTGAGGGATATCTCTAAAGAGCTACCACCTTCACCTGTGTCACAAGGGTTAGTTTCACTACAGTGTGGTAACATGATGGCACCCCCATGGGCCTCCACCCATGCCACAATCGCTGCATTGTACTTTCTCTTCTGGACCACTCAGAGTGGCTAGTTTATACTCAAGTTAGTAAAGGAAAGGTCACTTTCCCTCCCCTCCCTCTTTGCCCGGGCTGCCTCCCATCTCCCCCATTGCTGTGTTTGCTACTGCCATTCCCTTCTCAGCTGGTGTATCCCAATGCTCACTCTCCTGTTGTGGCTCTTTTCTGATTCTAGTGGCAGCAGCAATGTGCTTCTCTTTTCTGGCTCCTTAGCCATCTGATTCATGCATTATAATTGGCCTTTAATATACTTTATTTATATTCAGCTCGATCTCCCCAAGGGTACTCAGAATGGATTACAGGTACATATATAGCAAACATTCAATGCCGTTATACAATTATTCAATGCCTTTGAATTGGACATGAATGGAAGTGCTCCACTATTTATGTGAGTAATGCATTGTACTGCACCAATCCTCTGTCAAGTAAGTGGGCAGTTGTGGAGAGCTGTAATGATAGAAGATGTTATGATTATTAGGATAGTATGTCTGGGTCTGGGTCTGGGTTTGATTGGGGCTCCTTTCAAAATGCCTTGTGTGGAGAATCTTTTTAAATCTTAACCTTAATAAGGGACTGTAGCTAATGTTTTGACTATTATATATGCACACGCACACAGAGCGAATCTATATGCATGTTTACTCAGAAGCATGTCCAATGGGAATCAGCAGTTTTTCATCCATGTAACTCTGCAGAGGATTGCAACCTGACTTGTTTACTTTCATTGCTGTCTCTCTAAGATGAAAAAGGGGAAGAAGGGGAATGTAGGAAGCTGCTTTACGAAGATTTCTCAGTAGTTGCCCTCTTGAAGAAAGAGGTGGACAGGCTATAGTCCAGGGACCATGTGAAGATCTCGGTGCCCTTTTTGCACCACAACCTGCCACAATTTTTTATTTTGTGAAAACTGATGTTGTGATTTGCCTCCAAAATGAATGGCAGGACACCAAACATCGATACCAGGCATGGGCAAATTTGGCGCTCCAGGTGTTTTGGACTTAAACTCCCATAATTTCTAACAGCCTCAGGCCCTTTTCCTTCCCCTGAGGCTGTTAGGAAATATGGGAGTTGAAGTCCAAAACACCTAGAGGGCCAAAGTTTGCCCATGCCTGATTTATACTCAAGGGCAAGGAACTAAACATACACTAGTTTTGGGGGGAATATCTTTATTCTTTTAGTTCAATACCTGTAATAAATATTAAATGAATATCATATTAGTTATCTGTATCATATTAAAGCATAAATCTCTTTAAACGTCATTGACATGGAAATATAAATTTATTAAAAACTGATCAAGTACAAGTAATATATATATATAATTAGTGGGTAGGCCAACATAGGAGGATGGAACCAGAACAGAAGCTAACAGAAGTAGGATCTGAAGGAAGGAAGGAGGGAGCTTGGACATAAAATTGTTGTGTCTCCTCATGGTGAATATCAAACACAACTTATTTATTTATTTATTTCAGGCCTTCTTATCCCATCCTTCTCACCTCTGAAGAGGGACTCAGGATGGCTTACAGCAGGCAGTCATTAGATGCCAAAAAATAATACATTAAACACACAGTTACAATTAACACAATTAAAGTAATTATAAGCATTCAATTAAAAACAGTTCGCCGGTTGAAAACATAATCCAAATCAGTCCATTGTGGTCCACTAAAACATTCTTTTCCCAGTTGATCCATGTATTGCACAAACTCTTGATCCCAAAGCCAGGATTTAACTACTTGTGAATAATCTAAAGTATCTGTAGGAATGGATTAGCAATCTTGGTCTGATTTACAAATAAAAACCCACTAATGGTGTATGTCAAGGACCTTCAGGCTGTCGATCTACAGCTACCACTTTGTGCAGAAGACAGTGTGCCCCCCAAAGCTATTTTTGCAACTTGTCTAGACTTATCTTAGAAGCTAAGCAGAGCTAGCTTTGGTTAGCACTTGGATGAGGAGGCCCTTGTGCTGCTAGATTGTATCATTCACTTTGATTGAATTTTTTGGACCAATGTGGCCTTTTTGGCATTTCATGCAGATTAGCCTGTCACTCATGTCCTGCATGCATCAAGATGTGAATGCTTTAGAAGAGAGCTAATTAATTGCATGGGGGCTAGGAGCTAAATATCTTCCAGAACCCCTTTCCTTAGGTTGCATTTTGCAGCCCGAGCCCCATTATCTCCCTTTTCCTCTACAGTCCTTCTCATAATGGTGACAGGAAGTAACATCACATCAGGTCCTGTCTCCATTTCTAAAGTGACTGCAGAACATAATGGATTTTTTTTTTGAGATAGTATGGGATTCTGGTTTCTTTGTGGAAGGGGATGGTATTTTCATGTTTTCATGCATTTAGAGGGGTTTCAGCTATGGTTCAGAGGCCAAATTTCTCATAACTTCTGTTAATTTTATACTTGGGTGAACATCAGAACACTATTAGGGGACTTCAGAGTTTACGAAAATGGGGTCCAGTGGCCATATGTGTCTGCCAAACCACACAGTGTCTGTTCTATATAATTTATAATCCAAACTTTTGGATACAGAGGAATAATGTCATAATAAATATGGCATAATAAAGGACATCCAAATCCTTGCTGTTATTCCCTTTTCCAGTAAATGTTTTCCCTTGAAAGTATGTCAAATTATCATACTTCATCAAAAACATGATATGTTTTGGGATAAGAAATATTTCCTGCCTGATAATCATGATAACCATGGTCATTCTATAAAGACAACCTCTTTTAGGTCATCTGATGACTCTTTCCCACTTATGCTTTGAAACCACAAGGTAGTTTGCTCATAGAAGCATTTTGTCGTTGTCTATTTGCAGAGATTTATTGCTGTGGGTTGCTCAGCACACGGAAAAGCGACTGCACAGGCCTGCCCCAGTCTATGCTGAACAATCCGGATGTTCCACAGACTCGAGGACAACACAGGATAAAGATGAAAGGAAACATGTCATTGATCTGCTGGTACAATAAAGGCTATTTTCGGTTTTTGACCAATGCTTATTCTCCAGTTCAGCAAGGTGAGTCGCCTGTAACCCCATTTGACTTAGTGTTAACCTGCAAGATCCTTATAGGAGATAAGTTGGGACTTTGACTCTGAATGAAAAAGCATGCTTGAAATGAGTCTACCCAATCCTCTTTGGGGTTAGGCTGTATTTTTTAAGTCATCCTTGCTATATTTTAACTGCTGTTAAACACTATTTCAAAGTAACAGCTTCCATTCAGCATTGAGTTACAAATTTATAACCTTGAGGTACATATCTGTAACTATTGTGTAGTCTTGTTGTAAAGCTGTTTAAATGCCACCTCAGTTCTTATAGCCAGATTGGGTGATGCACATTTGTTTGGCTTCCAACTGGGATGCAATGGGGATGCATTTTCATATGAACGCCGCACACCAGTAAGCCAAGGCTACAACAATCAGAATCAGAACCCTACTCTGCTCCTTGTCACTTGCTGGTGGGAGAGTAATTGGAAACATTCACCTTCCTGTGCATCAGTTGTAAATTGTTGGCTCTTAACTATTGGTGTTATCCTACTTTTTCTCTCTAAAAAAGAGACTCAATACAATATAATTAAAACCTTAATATATACAAACATTAACATGAACAATATTAAAAATAAACACTTAAACCTTTACATTTTGAGAGGGTTTGGCCAGAAGATGTTACATAGTTTTACAGATGTAATAAATAGCCAATAAAGAATATCAAAACATGTTTTTAATATGATTTGTATTGTTCCTGAACCTTTTCATTGAAATTATTTCCATTGCATGTTGTTTTAGCTTGAATTGGAGCTGCAGTGGTGCAATGGGTTAAACCCTTGTGCTGGCTGAACTGCTGACCTAAGGTCAGCGGTTCAAATCCGCAAGATGGGTTGAGGTCCCATCTGTCAGCTCCAGCTTTCCATGCAGGGACATGAGAGAAGCCTCCCACAGGATGGTAACACATCCGGGCGTTCCCTGGACAATGTCTCTGCAGACAGTCAATTCTCTCATGCCAGAAGCGACTTGCAGTTTCTCAAATCGCTTCTGACATGATAAAACTTGAATTGTGAGTCCTGTACTGGGACAAAAGTGATATGTAAATTTACATACATATATATCTCCTTGCTTACATTGGTTTCAGATTATTATAAATCTAGAGGCAGCAGTAAGTATGACCATTAAATGGAAATTTGAATCAAAGGTGCAAGTTTTAACCAGTGCCGATTGCCATCCAGGTGATTGGAGCAAACTACCAACCAGAGGAAAAATAATGTTCTGAAGTTGATCTATTGGGAAGAAATCCTGCATTGTTATGAGTGAACTTGTGTGATTCACTGCCCACCTTGTTGCCTTGAGTTATATCACACAATATTGGAGCTGATGCTATTGGACTATATTTGGATGGTGTATATCCTTGTACAGTTGATGCAAATATGGTAGAGGAAAAGACGTTCACATTGAACCTTTTGTGTTGTTGGACTCAGGATCTCATTGAATGTAAGAGGATGCTTAGGATGCAATTTTGTACATCCTAGGAATAAGTCTCACTGAACTCCTTCACATGGATAGGATTTCTCTCTTAAACATTCATAACCTCTACACTAAAATTAATGGTGTTCAAAGATGAATTTATATTTGAGTTGATTAGGCATCTGGAGTATATATCAAGGGCATAATTGTTAAGCTAACTAGAAGTGGTTTTAATGAGTGCATATATCAGCATAAGAGAAAATTTGCAGCAGATCAGAAAATTTAGTGACAACTAATTGTTAAAATGGCACACATATTTTAATATAGTTCTCTCTACAAATGTTTAACTATTTCTTTGGAGACTTAAGAAGCATAGGATCAATATAGTACTCTGTTTGTAGAGTAGCATAATAGTAATAAAATAGATTCTTGTTTGGAGAAGATTGATGTAGAAATTTATTAAGGCTGTATCTCTCACACCTTTGAAAGAAAAGTTCAAATTAAAACCATCCAAGATGGGATCCGAATAAGAAAGAGAATGATTATCAAAGCATCAAAAAAGAGAAGATTGGGTGTTGAGAAGGAAGAAATGAAGGTAACAAAAAGCAGAGCGAGAAGAGAGATGTCAGAGAAAGTGAGAGAAGAGATGTCAGAGATAGAGGGAGAGAAAAGCTATTCAGGGCTATGTAGCCATATAGTTGGAAGACCTAGAGAGGACACTTAACCTCTGGCAGAAGTTAACCATAGAGTTACACTGGTGGACTTAGAGAATCTTAGGGAGGTATTATCTCAGCTCCAGTAAACATGTTAAATTAGCAGGAATGTGGTAAGTTAAACACATACATTATGTTCCATTGATCCAGTGGTTTCTTTCACTTGTGTCTAACACAGTGGTTCTCAACCTGTGGGTCCCCAGCTAGTTTACTAGCTGTTAGGATTTCTGGGATTTTAAGGCCAAAAACATCTAGGGACCCCAGGTTGAGAACCACTGGTCTAACAGCTGAGTTCAGTATGTTGTTGAAGGCTTTCATGGCCGGAATCACTGGATTGCTGTGAGTTTTCCAGGCTGTATGGCCATGTTCCAGAAGCATTATCTTCTGACATTTTGCCAGCATCTATGGTAGGCATCCTCAGAGGTTGCCTGCCATAGATGTGGGTGAAACGTCAGAAGAGAATGCTTCTCGAACATGGCCATACAGCCCGGAAAACTCACAGCAACCCAGTTGAGTTCAGGTTTTGTATGAAGTGGAACAACCTCTGTGTTGGTAAAACAAAAGCATAGATGTGGAGATGAATATACAAGGTGTGTTTCAACCAATACTGCAGTGGCTTGCTGCAAATGACAATAAATTTTGTTTTTTGTGGTTTTTTTATTGAAACAGGTGTTATAATTAAGAGAAAAAGCGGAGAGATTCCCTGCCCACTGGCAGTAGAAGCTTTTGCTGCTCATCTTAGTTATATTTGCAAATATGATGACAAATACAGCAAGTAAGTATGCAGAAGATGGGATAAAGGAATGTCACAGCATTGGAATAAAATCTGCAGATGGATGTAGACTACTAAATTTACTTCAATCCAACATGAATACCAAAATCAACCATGGAGCCTGATTTGTTTGAGAGAACATCTGTGGGAAGTGGAAGCCGGGGGTGGAGTGGGGGGTGGTGGTGTTAAAATGACTATTTTGAAGCAACAACCCTCAGGTGCAGGCTAGAAAAAGCTTGTGGCTGGAAGCTTAAATTATGTTCTTCAACATTTAAGTTGAATATATTATGAGGAAGAAATAACATGAAATGGGCTGTACAACTGGATTTAAACTGGAGATACAGATGTGTATTGGATTCCCCATGTAAAAATGTATTTTATTTAGAAAGCCATCATGTCACCATCTGGGTTGCTGGGTTGTGGATTTTTACCCTTTTAAACTCTCAGGTGAAATACTATTTTCCATCCAGAAAAGATAGTTTCCTATACCAAAATGATACTCATACCTGCAGCAAACAACCACATATAGTTTTTTTGCTGATCCAGCCCCCAATGCTATGTGGTCACAGATTTTTCTCTCCTAAGGGTGCATTGCCCGGTGCTGCAATTGATTAAACCCTTGTGCCGTCAGGACTGAAGACCGGCAGGTCAGAGCATGGATGAGCTCCCTCTGTCAGCTACAGCTCCCCATATGGGGACATGAGAGGAACCTCCCACAAGGATGGTGAAACATCAAAAACATCCGGGCGTCCACTGGGCAATGTCCTTGCAGATGGCCAATTCTCTCACAACAGAAGTGACTTACAGTTTCTCAAGTCGCTCCTGACATGCACACACAAAATGAAATGAAATGCAAATATAAAATGTATTTCAAATGACTTTAATTGATATGATCTTGGCTACTCAAAGTGAACTGAAAGAAATTGGCTATGATAGATGTCCAGCTGATTATGGGGGCTGATCACTTTCATGTTGCTTGGGCAATGAAGCCACTCTGAATCTAAATTTGAATGCAAAGAAGCTATTCAAAGTTCTGAACTATATTCCACAGCATCTTGGATAGCTGTTTTAAAGTTTGAACCCAAACCGAAAAAAATTTACTGCCCCACTGAAATGGCAACACTAGCCTAGCTGTGATTATCCCGTTGTCTATATAGCATTTGATACCATCTGTATCAGAGAGGGGTGCAGAACAAAGCAGGACAGCATCTGAGAAGTGAACAAAAGAGATAAACAAGTCAGGAAACATCTGGGTTACCGTAATTATCTGACTTCCAACTATTGGCTTTGTAGTCTCTCTTAGTTTTTATATAAGGTATTATAGTACTATGCTCTAATTCCTAAATGTTTTTGGCCCTATGATTTAGGTAGGCTCTAGATTAGTTTATATTCGTTTATATATGACAAATGATCCTTTTCTGCAAGCTATTTCAAGATGATTTCAGTCACATGAAAGGTATCTACATATCTCTGCTATCCAGTTAGAGCAATTCTGCAGTTCATTTGAATGCTCTAGCAGAGAATTGTAAGTACCTGATCAAACTACAGGTCCCAGGATTCCTTGGATGGAATCATAACAAAGTTCATCATCTATGGCTTGAAAACATTCATGGCCAGAATCACTGGATTGCTGTGAGTTTTCCGGGCTGTGTGATCATGTTCCAAAAGCATTATCTCCCGACATTCCTCCCACAACTATGGCAGGCATCCTCAGGGATTGTGACCTCTCAACCTCTGAAGATGCCTGCCATAGATGAGGGCAAAACGTCAGGAGAGAATGCTTCTGGGACATGGCCATACAACCCAGAAAACTCACAGAAATCCAGTGATTCTAGCCATGAAAGCCTTCAACAACACATTCTTAAAAATACCAAATAAAGCAAAGCTTCATTTTGCCATTTAGAGATATACTTTTTATGCTATTGTATATAATAGGACTTATTATATACAGTGGATACCAAGGACTCGCTGTACTGCCAGTCTGCTATGGCTGTGCCTACTAGATGAGTGGTTCTTAAGCTAGCTGACGTGGGGGACCAGAAGGGTTTTTTTCCCACCTAACGTGCCAAGAACTCTATTGTAGTGTTAGTAAATGGGTACCCTATTTCTTGGTGTCAGTTGGCAGCATTTTAAGGAGAAGTGGCCCAGACACTGTGTGATACTTTCATCCAAGCTGTGGCACCAGAAATATGTACAGAATAGACAGCATAAAGGGAGAAAAATAGAAAAAGTACAATTGGACCAAATGTTGAATTTCCTCCAGAGGAAATTCTTCTTGACTGAGCAATGGCTATCTGCCACCATCCCCTGCAACATGAACCAGTCATAGGGCAGAGCCAGGACTTGTGGACAAGGCAATGGGAACATGGCACAGCATTCTTCACGTCAGTCTAGGAGCTGGCCAGCAACAAACCGATGCAGCAAGGAAATGCTGCATAAGGCTTGTAGGACAGTTGGCCACTTTGCAAGCTTTTCTGGCTCCCAAACTGACGTTTTGGCAATGTAAAATAGGAGCAGGAGTGTCAAGTGAACTCAGCTGTGCCCACTAGAAACTGCAAGAGATTTATTTCATACTGACCTTCTCTTTCAGTTTTCCAGGATGATTTCCAGTTAGGATTTAGCTCAGGGATATATGGCCCTTCAGATGTTGTTGGACTGTGGCTCCCATCAGCCACATATTCCTGGCAAAGTATGTTTGGAATTGCAATCCAACAGCAGGGGAGACCATATGTTTATCATTCTATTAGGCAATCTTTTTCTCCTTTTCAGTGAGAAAGTGATTGATGGCCGATTTACTGTCAGTTTATTGCAGCAAGAGCTACTATAAGCTTTTTTGGGCACCCTAAAGCAAGGATTAGAAACACATGCTTCTTCAGATGTTGTGGGGCTACAGCTCTGTGGTGATCCTTTTTTCAGGCATAGGATTCTGCCTGAAGTTAAAAGCTACTAGCATACCAACTTCCTAGGTCCAGAAAACTTTTGAAAGGAGAGATCATTCAGAAATACAATATGAGCCCATTTTCCTGGACTCAATATTGATGGTTTCACAAAATCCTCCCTGGAAGTTTCTGTGGGATTCTTTAAGTGCTTTAGTGCACTTCTATGCTATACTTCTAGTCCAAGTATAGTCAAAATATAGTGTTTGTTACTGTCCATGGGGTGTCCTAGAACATATTCCCATGGATATGTTTGTATGTTGCCTTATTTTCCAGATAAAAAATAGAAGTTTGCCTGTATTATTGAACAAATACATTTCAGAAGAAAAAAGAAACATTGTCCTTAACCCTATTTGTCAGACTTTCTTTTCAACAAGAACGAAAAGTAGTGTTTCTCATGAAAAGACCTGAGATGAAAAGATTGCACCAGAAGCCACAATGCATCTGTTCAACTTAAAATAATAACTTCAATGAGCTGTCCCTTAGGAAGTGGGACAGAGGGTTGGGCAGGATACGAGGAGCTGCCATTTGGCCTGAATCTCTGTAAAATGGAGAAAGGACTTGGCAAAAATACCTCAAGGTCTGCCTTGTTGAGACTACTGTTTTATGGGCACATTGACACCTATTATGAAGATTTTTTCACAGCTGAGGCACAGAATAGTTAACACTGTACATATTTCATTGGGGAGCTATTTGAAAGACACATTCTTAGGAAAACACTGGAATACAAAAACAGTGGTAAAGTCAACTTTATCTAAATAAAAATGTAACGTTTGTTTGTTGGATTAACATAACTCAAAAACCACTGGATGAATTGACATGAAATTTGGACACCATGCCCCTAACAGACCAACAAGTGACCACCAGTCACAAACCCTTCCAGAAAACAGCGGAAAGGACTTAAAAACCCCAAAAGCTAAATGACAATACAGCACATGCACAAAAACAACAGCTCCCAGCATCTCCTAGACCAGGTCCTTTAGGGGAGGAGGGTGCTCCAAATGCACTGCTTCCAAGCTGCAAGCTTGCTTCTTCTTGGATTTATTTGAGAGCATCCCAATCTGTATATATTTCCTATTTCCTATTCCTGGACTGCAACTCTCAGCAATCCTCCAGATAGATAAAATATATAGATCAGATAGAGATAGACAGGTAGGTAGATAGATTGATCAGGATGACTGCTGGAAGTTACAGTCCAAGAATAGGTAAAGAAGGAAGAAAAGAGAGAAAGAAAAAGGGAGGGGAAGGAAGGAAAGAGGTAAAAAAAGAAGGAAGGAAGGGTAAGGGAAGGGAAGGAAGAGAAGGAAAAAAAAGGGAAGGAAGGAAGGAAGAAAAGAGGGAGGAGGAAGGAAGAAGAGAAAGAGGGATTGAAGATTGGCCACAGCAACACGTAGCGGGTACAGCTAGTAACTTATATAAATATTAGTGTGCCAAGTTCCCAGTGAGCCAACAGTTCTAATCTAGTTGGGATTAATAATTGTGTTTAGTCTTAACAGTGGGGTTTTGTGTACTATTTTTTATTGATACATGAGCTACAGAAGGCATGGGCAAACTCCCAGAATTCCTAACAGCTGGTAGGCTGTTAGGAATTCTGGGAGTTGAAATCCAAAACACCTGGAGGGCTGAAGTTTGTCCATGCCTGGACTATAGTCTATCAAGATTCCTGGCTGGCATGCTGTTAATGACTTACATGAGTGTAAATCCAATGTACAATGGCATAAGTCATTTTTTGGTCATTATGGAAGTCAGAAGTCTCTATTAATACTATAAAATAACCAAACTCTCCCCAATCCCCCTTTAAACTGCTGCAGCTCCCCTCCCACATAGGGATCAAGGGAGTAGTAGAATCGTGTCTATCTATAGCTAGATGTTCTGCATTAACCTTTGAGGACTCCTGGGAGGCCTAAGGGGAAGATATATAGCTTATCTAAGGGGGCAAAATGAGGATATTGCCCTCTATAAAAATTCCATATTCCAATGAAATTTTTCCTCCAATTCCCAAATTTCTAGCATTGAAGAGAGTAATACATTGCAGATTATTTATAACTTGAATTTACATATTCATTTTACTTGCCTCTTCTCTTTGAATGCCACAATTCTATTTTTATTTAATAGTTATTATACATGAGGTATATCAATGTAAGGTTTAACTCTAGCACGAAAAGCTGCAGGTACCCCATGGCCATGGGGCATAACAGAAGTTTTAAAGGAGTGAAGGAGGATGTCTGCTAACAGGACCGGTGCTTCAAACAGAAATGTTTGTTTGTTTTTCACACTTCTTTTTTCACCAATTGGATCCCGGAGAGTTATTATTCTCAATTATGTAACAGACTTGCTATTCTGTAAATTTCCAATATAACAATGGTCCTGCATAGATAATAAAGAGTCCCCACTCTTGGTGTATAACTCTTCAAGGACGGTATAGGTTAAGAAGAGCCACTTGAATTAAACATCTGATTGCTACAGAAAGTTAATCCAGATCTGCCATATTTATGTTTCTTGCAACACTTGAGTGACAATAGCATGACAGTTTTGTGTGTGTGTGTCAGGAGTGACTTGAGAAACTGCAAATCGCTTCTGGTGTGAGAGAATTGGCTGTCTGCAAGGACATTGCCCAGGGGACGCCTGGATGTTTTTGATGTTTTACCATCCTTGTGGGAGGCTTCTCTCATGTCCCTGCATGGGGAGCTGGAGATGACAGAGGGAGCTCAACCCGCTCTCCCCAGATGCAAACCGATGACCGGGTCAATCAACAGTCCTGCCGGCACAAGGGTTTAATCCATTGCACCACCAGGGGCTCCCATGAGAAAATGCTTGTATGAGAGAATAGGTATTGCCTTATTTCCAATGGCCAAATTTGACAATGATTTTGCCACTGCTGTTTTGTAGAAAATGCAAATGTCCCTCAGATCAGAAGGGGCAGACAGTGTGTAGCATCACATTTAAAATTTAAAGAGATCGCATTCTTTCTTGACTGTTGCATCTCTCATTTTTAAGATTCATGACCTCTTTCTTGTCTTAGAAATGTTTTATAGAGCATATTTCCCCCTTTCTCTCTTTTTGCTGTTTCCAGGTACTTCATTTCTCATAAACCAAACAAGACCTGGCAACAAGTTTTCTGGTTTGCCATCAGCATTGCCATCAACAATGCCTACATCTTGTACAAAATGTCCGATGCCTACCATGTGAGAAAATACAGCCGAGTGCAGTTCGGTGAGAGACTTGTAAAAGAGCTGCTAGGCTTGGAGGATACTTCACCTTGTCATTGATGGATCGTTCCTGGTGGCTTAGGTTAGGATGGGAGAGTGGAAGAGAAGAAGACTGAGAAGAAGAAGATTCTGAAATGCCAAAATAAGGAGCATCACAAAATGACCAGGGAAGCCATTCGCGTGTTTGGGGTCTTTGACAAAGGCCCACTTGATATTCAGAGGGCTCTGAAGGGAGCAACATCTGAAAGCTGCACATATGAATGCACCGTGGGCACTTGTGCATTAGAAGTGAATTTATGTTCGTAGCTATTTCTTAATACTATTTGTCAAACAGGGTGTTAGTTGTTGTGTGAGCCCCCTTTCCTCCCCCATCCCCCCCATACACTAACACAGCTTGACAGTTAAGACTGGGCAGTACATATTCGGATTTGAATAGTGTGATCAACACACAGTGTCAAGCGAGATGTGCTGTCTTGTGGCTGTGAATGTTCAGCAGCTGGGGAGGGGTCACCAAGTCGTCTCTGGCAGAAAAATATTGAAAAATGTATAAATCTATTTTGCAAGCCTATTGTTAGGCAACAGCAACAAAGTCTTAGTGGATTGATGAAGATTTTATTTTCTTGCAGTGCTTTTGGATCATAGGGGTAAATGAAAGCAATTTTTTTATATAAATGAGTGGTCAGAAGCCGGAGGAGCTTACCAATCCAAACTAAAGTCATGTTGCCACCTCTGAAGTCAACACAAGCTTTGGGGTTGACTTCAGTGATGTCATATTAGGAACATGAGATTACAATTTAATTGTAACAGCATGTCCCATTACTTTTCCAAAAATGAATCCGATGATATAGTGTGAGAACTACAAAAGTTCATTTGAATTTTGATTATTTTGATTTAATGTCAGTTGAATGGTTGTATAAACACTAGGCATGGGCAATCCATGGTTATAAATAGTTCTAAAGTACTTACAAAACTAGCGGGTGCTGGTGCTTTGCTTCTAAAGTGTTGTTGAAGTTCTGGTGGTGAAAATAGCAAAACTTTCAAAAAATTATTATTATTTCATTATTTTATGACGGAACCAATTAGGAACTGCCATTTATAATGAAATTTTGAAAGTTTGTTTAGCAACACTTTAGAAGCAAAGCACCAGCACCCCCTAGTTTTGTAAATACTTTAGAACTATTTAGAACCATGGATTGCCCGTCCCTAATAAACACAGATGCCCTAATCCAAGGATCCTCTATAGCTTGTTTGCTGTATTCTGTGTGCAGACCTAATCGGGAGTTTGACAACACAAGCAAGCAGATTCAGAGTCCTATTTACTTTATTTCAGAATATTATTGTATGCAAGCAAGCAAATAAATTCATCACACATTGTGGGAATAGTAGACAGTAAGGTGGTTTTCCTACTGGCCTTTCTCAGCACCAATAAGAATACACTGCCCATTTATTTCTTTTCCATTCACATAGTGCTTGTAGGACACTATGTCTTTATCATGTGGCAGCATCTGTGGACTGGGTTCATAATATGATGTGTAATTCCTCCCATTTTCTCTTTCTTCCTCAACCCTGACACTTTCTAAAGTTAAGACTGATTGCTGGGCATTTTTAACTTAATGCTTGTATAACTTTACAGGAAATAATAGTCCACCAATAGAAGCATCTTTTGTATCTGCACACTTGGGATATTCTATAAGACTGGTTAGAAGAGACGTCTACTCATAATAGCTTTCTGCTAAAATGTGTTATCATAGGTTAGGTTGGTTTTGTTTTTAAGGCTAAGTTGACAATATGATAGAAGCAATATTAAAAGTGTGCTTCTTCTAAGTAAGCATTGTCATAGGGAGTCTCCATAGGTCCTGAGAAGTACTGCCCAGTGGTAGACTATTTTCAGGAAGAAAACAGGCAAAGGAAGAAAGGAGACCTGCACATTGAATAAAGTGTTCTTCTATCACTACGTCATTAATGACAGCTTAGAACAATGGTTCCCAACCTTTGGTCCTCCAGGTGTTTTGGACTTCAGCTGCCAGAAATCCCAGCCAGCTTACCAACTGTTAAGAATTGTGGGAGCTGAAGTCCAAAACACCTGGAGGACCAAAGGTTGGGAACCACTCACTTAGAGCCATAACCCAGTCAAAGAGCTTAATGTGAGGATATCCATTTTCTGTGATTCCCTCAAATTTCTGTGGCATTCAGTTGAATGTGTAAAACAGCTATCATGAGTGTTGCTTCTTGTTAATAAGAAATGCTGTTCCTTCTCTAATTGTACATTTGGGCTGATCTTTAGAACATTAAACTAAAACAGAAAGGGCTACGTCATGGAACTTTATTGATAACCAAGTAGTGTTCTGTTAAAAAGAGCCCTGTAATGTTTTTGATTACAACTCACAGAATCTTGCTGCTGACTTTCCCAGTGAAGGTTGGTGGAAGGTGTATGTCAGAAGCTTGTGGAGGGCTACTACTGAGAGCTGAGCCAAGGACCAAAGCTAGATGCATCCTCAGGCCCACTCCTTGAATTTAGCAACCAGCATTATAGCCACTGTATTGTCGAAGGCTTTCATGGCCGAAATCACTGTGTTGTTGTAGGTTTTTCGGGTTGGATGCTCATGTTGTAGAAGCATTCTCTCCTCACCAGATGCTTGCCACAGATGCAGGCAATATGTCAGGAGATAATGCTTCTAGAACATGGCTATATAGCCCGAGAAACCTACAACAACCCATTATAGCCACTTTCTGGACTGTTGTGATACTAACATTTATTTTCTAATGTATAGTTTGTTTTATCCATTGTTAACCCCCCCCCCCCTCCTCCACCACCACCACCAATAAACACACCCTTCAGAGGTCCATACCTTGGGAATTTCACACCTCCTGTCCCATTTCCTCAGCCATGACCGCCACCTCTGACCCTAGAGAAATCAAAGACTTGTCTAGTTAAATCTGATCCAGGAAATGAAGGCATTGATCTCCATACAGATTCTGCCCCACCAGTGAACTGTTCCTCTAGTCATCCAGTTTCTAGCATTGCAGCAATTTAAAGCATCAATGAAACATTTAGAAATAGAGAGTAGACATCTGAAAGAATTTAAGTTATATATAATTTAATTAAGAAAAGAGCTGGGAAGGTTATCAAGGGAAAGTAAACACAGCAAATGTAAGAATTTTAGGTAAGAATGAATTGCAGCATTCATTTTCTGTAGTGATGAGTACCTTGAGTCTGATGGCCATCTTGAAGATGTCTTGTAGCCTACACATTGATGCTGTAAAATCTACTTTTCCAAGCCTTTTTGCCGCATTCTGACCATTCTGAATTATTATTTTGGGTATCCTACTTTCTTTCTTTCTTTTTTTTTTTTTTGCAAAAGACCCTTTGCAGCCACAGCATGGACCAAAAAGCAAACAAAATATAACCAATACAATTAAATCATAATGGACATACTGATATTTGATGAACCATCTCTGAAGTTTTCCTCAGAGATCACACATCACACTCAAAACATTATAACAACCACCACACAGCCTGGAGCCATATTCTTGTATGAAGAATTTGTCTACAATGAAAATTTTGCAACTTGGCAGGAACTTTTAATGGGAGGTGGCGCATACTTAAATATACGGGTTTCATACATAGGAAGCCATATTAGCTGATCTCACTACAAACACGTCATCAACTCTAGAGAAAGGAAATACAGGATGGCATCCTGTTTGGAATGTACCACATTGTAAGCCCACTTAGGGCTGTGTACTTTAGAACTATAGTATTGCACAAGGGTTGTATTCCCAAGTGGGGAGCATCTTCCAGAACATTGTGAAGAGGAGCAGGCAGCATGGCTGCTGTGCAGTGCTCATGAAGAACAACAGTATAACATTTTGCAGAACATGTTACTCTTGTGTGATGACAGCATATGGAGAGCAAATAGAATGTGCTCAACAAAGCCCATGAGGCACTGGTAGTCCAGAACATTATGCAGTAGAAACCTGGGGATGCTCTGTATCTGTTAAAAAAAATATCCCCACCTTTTGCACTGCCCCATTGCATTGCAAGCATATTGCATGGTGTTGTATTGACTATCATTGCAAGACTGCTGTGTCAGCAAGATAACTACATCATTTTATTGCTGGCTTTTGTATTGGCACCCAAGTTATTAAACACCCACAAACCATAGTGCCAGGACAGATCATATGTAGCACATAAACCTGATGTTGCTTTGGTTGTCTGGTGTTCCACTGCTCTTAATTAGCCATTCGTGCTATTGCTGTTGCCAGATCTGTGCTATCAAAATTTGACAACACCCTCCCACCCTGAATCTTAATTCAGGCTCTACTGACATGGCTTGAAGTATCTTGAGATGCAGCTTGGCAACATCTTTCCCCATCGGTCACTCTGTGCAACTTGATATCCGTGACTAGTGCTGAACCCAGGTCTTGGTATGTTATAGCCTTCCACACTGCGTGCAAGAGCTATAAAGACGATGTTCTACAAGCATCACACCCAGTGCCAGCCTTCACCAACTTGGCATCTTTCAATGTGATGGGCTATAATTTCATTTCAGGTACAATAAGATCATGAGACTTGTAGTCCAACAAAATCCAGGTTAGGAGAGCTGTCCATTAAGTGTACCTTATTCTCCCAAATGTTGATCTGTAGTATATTGTTAAGCAGTCCATAAAGTCGCTTATTTTAGAGTATAACATTAGGCACTACTCAGTAGAGCTAAGCATCTGTGAAAAACAAATATTGTATTGCTGCTCTTTCAATTTTAGGAAATAACTACAAATATTCACTGGGGACTCCTATAGCTTTTTATGTCTCCCTGTTTACTTACTTGACGATTCTGTTAACATAGAACTCTCATATTTTCTTTTCCTGGGCTTTGCTCTGTAGCCATACTCTCAAGTTACTAGTCTTCCTTTTTGTTAATATGTGCCATTTTAGAAACCCCACTTCTTTTGTGCAGTTTTCCTGTACCATTTAATTTGTTTGGGGAGATCATTATTTCACTTTCTTATATGACTGATCTATGCAGTTAGATATTTCAAAAGTTCTGTTGAAAGACAGTGACTAAAAAGTATGCATTTTTATAGGGCCTTTGACTGATGCTCCCACGTTGGCCTCTGTTCTTCTAATGCGATTGCCACTGACCGGTCTGCTAATGAGAAGCTGTTCTATTTTTTCCCTGGTACAAGTTTCAATAGGCTTCAGTTGCAAATCAAGATCAAAGGCATCACTATTTCTGCATTTTGAGCTTCTATAATGCCTTCAAGTCAGGGCTTGAACAAGTTCCTTTTTTTTTTTTTACCGTAGTAGCCAAACTGGCTGAGGAATTCAAGAAATTTAGTCCCATGAAGTAACTTATCCTGGCTCAAATTATTTTTAAAGCTATACTTTTAAGGTTATTCAATTCATTACCCATAAAGTACAATACCTCTTTCTCAAATAACTTCCAAAATCAGGGATGAAACAGAAGAAAGAGATATGGGATCATAATTAAGGAAAGAGAGGGCAAAACCAGCAACATTCCAGATACTGAGCTTCACAGTCTCTTCTGAGGGATGTGTCATGCCATCTTGATGAACCCAGGCTGCAGAAGGGCTAACCTAAAACACTGATCAGTCAGCTGAAGAGCATGCCCAGCAATGAAGCATTTCTGAAATGTCAACTGCCATCAGCAAGAGAGCAACTCACTGCATTGAGGGAAATGGATGGGAACTGGGATGTATATAGGCCATGCGTCTTGCATATTAAAGGCCATCTTCCACCTGCAGAGCTTCCAGCTATCCAGAAGCGAAGACCAGCTCTCTAAAAATAGAGCACCCAGTGGATCTGTAGTTGGGGGCAGGTGGACAGGGAATCCAAATTCAGTTTTACATCTGCTCCCTCACAACATTTATCCCAAATTGTACAATAGTTCTGTGCTGCCAAAGCTGGCTTAGGATGTAGTCCAGCCCTTATACAACTTGGAGCAAATGTAAGAGGAACAGCTGTAAAATCAAAAAGACGACAAACTAGCCATGTAGTCATAGATGAAGCAGCTGTTTTGCTAGAAACATAAAAGACAGGAGGTGGGTGCTCTAACAGGCTGGAAAACATGCAAAAACTACTCCAGAAACACACTGAAAAATGTGCACACCTTTATCTCTAGGTGCTACCACTGGTTTTAAAGGGAATTGGCTTAGTTTAAATGGTCTAGCAGATTGTCTTTTCCTATGCAGAACTAAACTCAATATAGTGATTTCAAAGGGCTTAACATCAAAAGGCCACATAACCAGCAAAAACAGTGTTTTCATTAATAGTTAAGAGATTCATGCTATTTTTTGTTTATTTAAAATTGTGTTTTATGGAGCTTCTAAGCAAGAGTGTTAAATGTCCCCAACTCCACTCTCAAGGGAGTTTTCATAATTCAAGAGCAGGTTCCTTTTAGACCCAGGGCTGAAGAGGGCTTCCAGGGACACCTGCCAAAAAGCACTGCATATTTTGAGTTGTGAAGTGCCCACCTCTTCTCTCCTGCCTTGTGCTGTCGTTCCGTGCCACAACATGCCTTTTCAGATTACAACAAAAAAACAAAGCTAAAACAAAAATCGTTAGACTTTCCCACTTTTTAAAAAAAGCACTGACAATATGATATTTTGCCTATCAAACTAACATCATACAGCCCGAAAAACTTACAATAACTTGCATCATGATTATAGAAATAGAAACACAGTTTTCTTCAGCTACCCTGATGCAAAATGCATTTTCCTGGGGAATCAATGCCATTTTGTTATTCAGAGGGATATTTCCCTTCCAAGTAATGGCACAAATCCTGTTGGAGCATTGCATGTTTGTAAGCGAGATTGACCCTGCAAGGAATAGAAATGTGAGGGTTTGCAACCTCCATATCCAATAAAGGCTACAGTTATGTGACTCATAGCAGAAGCAGCAAAAGGACTGGGGTGATTTGGGACTAATACACCATGATGCCCATTAGGGCCACAATGTGAGCTTATTCTCCATCTTGTGTATTCATGTATAGGTTGACCTTGTATATAAGTTAGGTTTGTGACCTAAACAAAAATTTAGTGGCATATGATACATAATTTCCCTCCAAACTTTTACAAATGTATAAAGGGAACATTCTGAGGAAGTGCTAAAGAGAAGGAGAGGATCTGTTTATTTAAGGGGTTACAATGTGTAAATTGTGGCACTGACCTTAAAATTAAGACAGAAAGACAAATACAGGTAGGGAAGGAAATACATATGGGAAAAAAGAATGGGATGACGAAGAAGAGGAAGGAAAGCAACGTGCCTCTATTGGAGACCCAGCATGAAAGCAGTGATAAGTGACAGAGGAAAAAAAATGCCCCCATGCCAGGCCCGTAGTCAGGATTTCGTTTCAGGGGGGGGGGGGGGGCTAAAAAAATTTCAGGGGGGTTTCGGGGGGGGCTGAGTCTGAGTGAAAGAGGGTCTAGCCTAGCAAACCTTTTGTATCATTACCCCAATACCCCCATGCATATGGGATATATTGAGTATGGTGATCAGATCATGATATGAATAAACATAACAGTTTAAATAATGCACCAGTAAGGCCTTTTCGCAAACCACCATGAGAATTTCGGGGGGGGGGGGTGAAGCCCCTCAAGCCCCCCCCCCCCCCCCCCCCCCCCCATGCCTGCCCATACCAAGAATGCATCAAAATGGGTGGGTCCAGTTATAATACAGTCAAATATTGTTTGTAATATAGCAGAATAACATATTGGGACCACCTGAGAAGCAGAGCAGAGAAGTAGTGGCGAAAGTCATTTTTAATGATAAGTGTGTTGTAGTCTCGCCAATCGTCTGAGCTTATACAAAAAGTCCCTATGTCAAAAACGACTCCACCACCATTCGCTACTGCCTGCGCCCAATATTGCTGGAGAAATTATACTGTTTAGCCGGCATTGCACCACCTGATATCCGTCAGGTAGTAGCAAGCAGTAATGAAAGGGCCAAGGCACTGACATCTTTGGCCCATCCTCTGTTCTGATATCATCCAGCAGGCCAAAGCTGTAAATCAGTGGTTCTCAACTTGTGGGTCCCCAGGTGTTTTGGCCTACAACTCCCAGAAATCCCAGCCAGTTTATCAGCTGTTAGGATTTCTGGGAGTCGAGTCCAAAACATCTGGGGACCCACATGTTGAGAACCACTGACCTACAGCTTTCGTAGGGCATGCATAGCATAGCCAATGGCAAGGGAGCATGGGAACAGTAGTTCAAAAAGGCTAGAAGGTCAAAGGCCTTTAGCATGCCCCCCTTTCTCTACATATGGGCAGTCTAAGTGTTCAAAAAATACCAGTCATTTTTAAACATTGGACTTGGAACATTATGGCTACCCAGGCAGGTATGAAGAATGAGCATCTTTATGGCAAGTGCTGTGACAGCAAACCCTCAGTGGGACCCCTCAATGGCCTGTAACTCCTCATTAAAGATACCAGACACAGTAGACACTGCCATAGTTCTGTGGCAAGCTGCATTTTTCAGGACATCTGTTGTTGCTCAAGGGGATTTGGTATGCTCTTTAGAGTCTAGTGGCATCAGCTATTCTTCTGGACTTGATGAAAAATCACAGTTATCCCACGTTTGCCTATCACTCTTTATGAAGTAGAACTTTAATCACTCTAAAAGTAGCTGGTGCAACATTTCTGTATAAAGAAACATCACTCTCCTCAGTCTGTTACTGCAAACATTTGCTATCATGTCTGTTTAGGCTAGATTGGATTAACCCCATCTAAGTGAATGATACAGTGCTTTCGCATCATGTTGACTAGGCTGAGCTGTTTCATTTCAAGTATTTAACAAAGAGGCATTATTCAGAATAGATACAGTGCTACAACACTTGGGTTGTAGGTTTTTCGGTCTGTATGGCCATGTTCTAGAAGCATCTGTGGCAAACATCCTCAGAGGTTGTGAGGTCTGTTGGAAACTAGAAAAATTGGGTTTATATATCTGTGGAAAGTCCAGGGTGGGAATTAAAATGAACAAAATCTGGCTAACAGTATTAAAAAAAACTCTAAAATTATAACAGTAAATAAAGAACAACACCCAAACACAGGGGAACTCCAGACAAGAAACAATCAAGGACAGCTAATTGCCCCGAAGAAAGGATTTCCCCAGGTAGTAACAAGCCAAACCTAAAAACTGTCAGACCACCAAATGCTAATCCAGGTGGCCAATTGAAACCACCTAGCTCCAACAGACAAGAGTTCTTTCTCCCACCCTGGACTTTCCACAGATATATAAACCCAAATTTCCTAGTTTCCAACAGAAACCTCTGAGGATGCCTGCCACAGATGCAGGTGAAACGTCAGGACAGAATGCTTCTAGAAGATGGCCATACAGCCCCGAAAAACTTACAACAACCCAGTGATTCTGGCCATGAAAGCCTTCAACACTACCACACTTGTTTCCTTCAAGCAAGTGACAGCAGGAAGTTGCAAGAACTAGGAAGCACTGAGTTGTAGTAGGTTTTTTGGGCTATATGACCATGTTCTAGAAGCATTCTCTCCTGATGTTTCACCTGCATTTATGGCAGGCATCCCCAGAGGTTGTGAGGTCTTCTGAGGATGCCTGCCATAGATGCAGGTAAAACAACAACCCAGTGATTCAGGCCATGAAAACCTTCGACAATAACTAGGAAGCAGTTTTTGATTTTCTTCCAGCAGCAATCTCTCCAAGATTTTCATGCAAGGAAAAGGAAATGTTGCAAGTGGGATGCAGAGCCGAAGACATCACTCACAAATATCTAATAGCAGCTCAGGGAATGGCTGCGGAGAGAGCCAGCCTTTCATGCCTCTGAGTACTGGGTGCCATTTCCCTAGAATGCCAAGGAGAGGAATCCCGAAGACACCTGTCATTCAGAGAATGATCCAACTCAACTACTATGCACTTGTTCTCAGAATGATCTTTCAGGGACATTTCCAAATTAGTCTTTGTTAAGGCATTCATTTAACAAAGACCTCACACTTCATGATAGAATTACACAGTTTAGATGGTTGATGTAGTGGTGAGAGTACTAGCAATTGGATTAATTGTCTACCCCTCTAGATGTTTGTGACCTACAAGTCTGCAATATTTGGAGGACCATGATTCCCACATGTGGTCTACTATGACCAACTATATGTGATGTTTCCCAATGTATAGGACTGCAACTCCATCACCCTTGATCATTGGCTGGGGCTAATGGGAGGTGTTGTGCAACAGGATACTCTGATCTACAGCTTAGTGTGTTTATTGCTTTTGTGGTGCTCATTTTTAATCTGACATGGCCAGAACATTTGAAAAAAATCAGTTTATAAACTGGGCATCAAAAATGGAATTTATGGCAATCAGTTTATAAACTGGGCATCAAAAATGGAAGAATTAATTGGCAGATATACGCATATTTTGCCCAACTCTATATTTGACATATTAATAAAAATGGAAAAAAGCAGAAATTTGAATAGTGGCTTCCTTTAAATCTGAAAAAAAAGTTTGAAATTCTATCTTGCTTTGGTTTACAAACTGCTCAATTTTCCTGGTTTTTGGAGCTTCAGATTTGGGGGGGGGGGGGACACCCAGTGTTTAGTAAAATGGGCCTGTCTAAACTAATATTGGAGAAAAAAAAATACTTGGTTTGACTATAGCCCCCAGTATTCCCCACCCAAACTCTCCATAGGAGATCTTGGGCAATGGAGTCCCAAAAAGTAGTTTTCCCAAAGCAAATGACACCGGTCCATCTTGATCCATCCCATTTCCATATCCCAGAAAGTCAAGGCTGCTATACCATCAGTTGATGCACTGCAGCAAGAACTCAGGAGCCAACTTCACGTAAACAGGCAAAACCACCATAAAGGGGAAAAACCCTACATATGCTGAAAGGAAGGCCTGCGAAGTACAATGATATATTTATTACCTGCTACAAACCTGTTGGACCTTCCATTTTCTGCAACTGACATTCCATCAAATGAAGTGACTGTACAGAACACTATTGTAGTGTTGTTGTTGTTGTTGTTAAAAATGTGTATTCAACTACCTGTGTGTTTTCCAGCTATGCTCACAACAGACACACACAAACATGATTGCTGTTCAGTTGCAAGCTTCCAGTTTCCTTCCCCAGAGTGTGTTAAAAACAAAGACATTCTGTTCAGCGATGTCAATGTAGGTTAAACGTGCAGTGCTGTTTTACCATTTGGTTTTAAAGATCAATTTTATACATATGTACTCGTTCAGGAAATGCATGTGTGGACTCCGACACATGAATGAAGTTCCCACCTGTATTTCTGACTCCTTGGTTCAAGTGAAGACCTATCTTTGTGACTACGGTTTTTGTTCTACACAAAGCCACGCTTGCAATAAATTTTTACAAGTTTTCTACACCATGAGCTAAATTCTGAGTTCCAAAATGTGAAATGTGGTAATCAAACAACTAAATGGATTTATAGTATCACTCTGATTTCTTGTCATGTGATTCTTTTCTTCCCCCTTCAACAAAGTTTGTTTACAATCAGCAACTTTGAAATACAATCAAATATAAATTACTTGCCTCTTTGGGTATTATTTTTATGGGAATTATAAGGAAGATGTTGCGTGGATGGCAATGTTTGTGTGTGTGCATGAGAGACGGAGGGATGGTCAGCTACTATCCTGTAGAACAGTGGTTCTGAACCTGTGGGTCTCCAGGTGTTTTGGCCTACAACTCCCAGAAATCCCAGCCAGTTTACCAGCTGTTAGAATTTTTGGGAGTTAAAGGCCAAAACATCTGGGGACCCACAGGTTGAGAACCACTGCTGTAGAATCAATTCCATTTGATACCACTTCAACTGATATGGCTCAATGCTATATGGTCCTGGGAGTTATAGTTTGGTGAGGCTCCAGCTTTCTCTTTTGGCAGAGAAAGTTAAAGACCTTGTAAAACTGCAGCTTGCATGAGCCTATAGCAGTGGTTCCCAACCTTTTTTTGACAAGGGACCTCGTTGACCAGGGACCACTCTCCAACATTAGTACCAAAAGGGTTATGAATCAGTTTTTGGTCAACTTTAGATTCAATTTAGTTATTTCGGGTGCTGATTCAAAAAATTGCATTGGATAGACCACATCAGCTCTAGTTTCTGATATAGAATATATGCAACCCAATAGTCACCATCTGCTCGCCCACAGAAAACCATATTTTATTTATTTATTTATTTATTTGGTACACTTGTATACCGCTAATTTCTCAGCCTGGATCGGCGACTCAATTGCGGTTTACAGCAAATTAAAAACAATCTCCAATTTAAAACATATACACA